TTTTAGGAAGTCAGAGTATTCAGATTAAAGTTAGTAGGTGCTAAATGTTTCAGGCTCAAATAACTCAAAAAATTGCCATCACTCAGTGAAACTGAAACAGATAAACATCACTACTCGTGATAGTCCTGTCATTAAATTTTAAGAATTTATAGATGGGAATTTTCTATCAATGTTTTCAACTCTAAAATATAGTATTTTTTTCTTGAGAAACAAGCTTTCAGGGTGCAATTCAAAACCATCAAGGGACATACATAAAATATTTACAAGATCTGTTTCATGCCAACAAACTGCTCCAGAAGATGAGAAGTGACGAGCTAGATTCTTCCTATATCTAAGCCACTACCTTTGCTAAGGAAAGTATCTTAGGAGCCTATTTATATTGCAGGTCCATTACTTACTATTCAGAAAGTTTATACAGTGATTATTGATTCTCTAGATTCAGAAACCTATTCGTGGCTAAGAAAATTACTATTGTTAACCAAAAATATCCTGTGTTTTTGTTAATCTTCCTCGCAGATCGTATTTTCATATCCAGCATCTGGATATTGTTTCTTTGTAATCAAATACTAGCAATTTAACTTGATAATTCTTCTCAGCCTGCGTAGACAAAGAAAGGGTTCGGTACGACTTGTTTTTTTTTTTTTTCCAGAAGAGTTCATTGTTAACTGTGCCTAGAATATTATTTTGCTTTCTTGTCTCTTATTTTATAGGAATAAAAAAAAACAACATCTTATGTCTCGTCTAGAAGTCCTTCGCACTTGGGATCATTCAATTCAGCGCTATTTCAATTTAATACACTAGTTTCATATGTGGAAATTATATTTAAACAAAGTGTCTTTCAATCCCCACTTAAGTATATGAGAGTGAGGAAGGCCGCTATGTCCGCCACCTCATTCGTCACCAGCGTGGAGTCGACTAACACGGCAGCCAAGGCAGCATCCCCTTCTGTCCAGATACTCCCTCGTGCAGCCCTCCTGATGCAGCCCGATCCCATACCCTCTTCCCCTGGCTACTTTGCATTACGGCAATTGTAAGTGTAGAAAGCATTGGAGGAATTTTACAGGCCAGTAAAATTATTCTGGAGACTTCTATTTTTAAAAATATATCTTCCAGATGGATTTTTGATCTCAAAATTTTGATTAATTGTCTTCAAATATATGCTTCCTTTTAAAGTGACTCATTGAAAACTTGGACTTAATAATAATCAAATAATACCTTTCAGGTGGTTTTTAAACCACTTGGTTCAAGTCTCCATTAATACCATCCTTAAGCCATAGATTTCTTCTTCGAACCAAAGCAAACACTTTTGTTGTTAGCTTATTCCAGGATCTCTTTTAATGCGAAAAATCAATGCTTAGAATATGGGACTGAACTCTTGTCCTTCCCTACTCACGCCTCCCACTTTTTTTTTAATTTTCAGGGACCAAGAAAAAGAAGACATCTAAGTTACAAAACCAATATGCAGTCAACTCAACTTCTAAAGGTAAGTAACAATACTGCAAATTTGCTTTCTCTGCAGAAAAATAAGAAGACTAAAATAATTTGCAGAAATGTCTTTAAGAGCCACCAGAACATGGATTATTATATATTCTGTAGTCACTAATTTTTCATTAAGCAGTTACGTTGTTTAGACCATCTGTTTTTGTCTTTCCGTTGAATGATGAACTTTCTAAGAATGGGAAATTAGGAAATGTCACATCTTTACTTTTTGCCCCATATTCTCACCCTACCCTTGTTGTTGGGTAAGTAATGAGCCATTTAACTCTAGGGTTACTTCAAATACTCAAAAAACAGCTCTGCAACTACACCAGTACATTTCCATTCCTATGAGCAACAGATTATTAATTGTGTAAGAGAAATTATTCTGGCTGAGGAGGCTGCAGATGCTCTATAGTTGTGTGTTTTTAAATGGCACTAAAAGGAAGAAGAGAAACTCTGCTCTACTGTTGTTCATTTGCTAAATGACCTTCTTTCATTTAACCGGTGACTTCCTACCTTGCCTCATCTTTC